ATTTCAGTGGGTCTAGGGCTGCCATACCTCCAGAATTTCCCGGAGATATCCAGGATTCATCCATCGGAAAAAGCAGAATTTATGAAAATTGGTAAAAATGTCCAGGAAAACCTGGGCATATAGAAACCCATGTTGGAATATATTTTTTCTTTTCTTTTCTTTTCTTTTCTTTTCTTTTCTTTTCTTTTCTTTTCTTTTCTTTTCTTTTCTTTTCTTTCTTTCTTTCATTTTTTTTTTTTTTAGATTTTGCAACAAAAGCTCAACAATTTTTGTGTCCGGATTTCCACTTATTGAAACATGGCAATCCTAAATGGGTCTACAATGAGAATAACTTAATTGGATACAACCTGCAGTTCTCAGTTTTTCTGTGAATTAGGGCCTGGTTTGTGGGTTTTGTTTCTTGTTTTAAATGAAAAAAATACTTAGTTTGTTGATGCAGTGAGAGAAGTTGTGTTAGTACTGGCAGCTAAATTGGAAATTGGTTGATTATTATTATTTTGGTTTACTTATTGTGGTTTGCTTGCCCCATTAACATAAGATTAGAAAAGCTGCACAAACCACTGTATCTCTTGGAAAGCGGTTTGTTTCCTCTGCATTTGGACAGCTCCTATGATATTGTAACTAAATTTTGCTTGATGGTTCCTGACATCAAGGAGCAGGTCTTCTTCTGTGTTTGGATACAACTGGCCGCCATTTTGAATCAAGACGGTGGACCAAATATTTTGAAAGTGAGCAGATTTTAACCACCGATTTCAAAACTGTGCTAAATTTTGCTGTCTTTGAATTCGTGAGCAACATCAGGAATAAGGCTGTTCCTACGCTGTAAAACAGACCTGGGAAACAGCACTGAAAACTTCAGGAGTGCTAATATATCAATATCATCAAACTGGATGACCCTTTGTGCCCTTTCCCACTCTATACAATTCTATCATTTTATATAGCTAGTGCCCACCCACCCTAAAACATTTGGCAGTGGAGGCTGGCCCACTGGGGCAAGTGGGGCACGGCCCCACCACACTGAAACACCCTTCCACCTTCCTGTCTACTTACTTATAAACTGGCCCAGCGGTTGGCCTGGCCTAACATCTTCCTCCTTAGTCTCAGGGTTAACCTTGTAGAGCTCAGCAAGGAAAAGGATGGGGACAAAACTAATTGGCTCTGTCATTGGCTCTGGCTACCATTGGCCTCCTTGTCGTCTGCCCCATTAGCCCCAATGGGCACCAGCCTGCCACTGCCTCTTGCATTTAGTGGGAAGGAAATATAGGTAGTATGTGAACTCTGCTGCAGATGGAGAGCTGGCTTTGACGTTTTGACGGAGGCTCTTCCAGGGAAAGCTGGCCAACGCAACCTTTGCCTCAGCCCCCTTTCCTTCATATTGCTGGACGTGTTTACTTTGCGAGGGAGTTCAGCTGTCATAAATTACCCTCAAAGTTCTGAGACAACTCCCGCAGAGTTAATAAGGCTTCCCGTAATTGCTCTGCTGGAGTGGCTCCATCCCATAATTCATTCTTCCAACCTGCCTGGGTGCTCCTCACCACCAGCTTTGCATCATTTGAAGTGTAAGTTTTTGGGGAACAGGAAGTGAATGACGTTCATGGGCAGTGCCGGATTTACGTATAATAAGGCTACCAGATTTTTTTCAGTGAATCCGGGGACACTTTTCCATTTCAATGGATTTTGTATGGGGCCTGATTTGTAAATCTGGGGACTGTCCCTAGGAAACGGTGATGTCTGGTAACCTTAAATAAGCTAAACAAGCTATAGCTTAGGGCCCCACTCTCTTGCGGGGCCCCAAAAATGTTAAAGGAAACAAAACCTGGATGTACATTTCCAAAATATAAGATGAAATAAATATTACTTTGATAAAATACATATTTTGTTATGTGCAAATGGCTTTAGATAACTATTAGGTCCATAAATTACCACATAGCATATATTCAACACAAAAAAGCGACAATTTGTTGTTGACAAAGGACAGCTGGACATATAAAGGACTCCATTACCTTTAGTAGCTCAGGGCTTCACCAAACCTAAATCCGGCCCTTTTCACGGGAGGGGGTTAGCGGGGGGGGGGGAATGCTGCTCAAGAGAGGCAACAGAAAAGTTACTGGGAAACCAGAGATGAACCAGAACATTGCCATATTTTCTTCTGATAGGGCTCTTGCACCTCACCAAAGGAAATCGGGGTGGGCGGGAGGTGGGGGGAGGAAATTCAGCTTTAACTGCATCAAAAGGTGAACCTACCTACCGTATTTTTTGCTCTATAAGACGCACTTTTTCCCTCCTAAAAAGTAAGGGGAAATGTGTGTGCATCTTATGGAGCGAATGCAGGCTGCACAGCTATCCCAGAAGCCAGAACAGAACAGCAAAAGAGATCACTGCTTTCGCTGCGCAGCAATCCCTCTTGCTGTTCTGGCTTCTGGGATTCAGAGTATTTTTTTCTTGTTTTCCTCCTCCAAAAACTAGGTGCGTCTTATAGAGCGAAAAGTACGGTAATTCACACTTTCTGGAGCAACAGCGAGAACTGAAACACACCCATCCTATGAAATTTGCCATTGTCTGAATTTTGCAATACAGTTCTCCAGCCAAATAATGCCTAGAAATATTAACACATAGACTGGGGTAAAGTGTGCCTAATAATGCAGTGTTGTGAGCTGAGGTGGGTGGGTATGCCTGAGTCCAATCTAATTCCCGGATCCAGCAAAGATTCAATTGCTCGAATAGCCAGGCCAGCTTCCTGATAATGGCCTAAATGGAGGTCATTAAAGTAACAAAGGAAGTGGCTCTGCCTCCTCCCTCTGGTAGTCAGAAAGACAAAAGCCTGAGCTGTGTGTGTGACCTAAAAGACAGAAGCAGGCAGAAACCAGAGAGAGGGAGAGAGATGCTTGATTTCTGTTTGCATCCAAGGCTGTGGCTGTGGCAGAAGCAAGGCCTTCTTGAAGGTGTTAATGCTGCAAGCCCCTCCATTGTGGGCTCAGGTTGTATAGACAGTGGTACCTCGGGTTACAAACCCTTCGGGTTACAAACTCCGCTAACCCCGAAGTAGTTGCCCCGGGTTGCAAACTTTGCCCCAGGATGAGAATGGAAATCCTGCGCTGGCGGGGCGGCGACAGCGGGAGGTCCCATTACTGAAAGCGCGCCTCTGGTTAAGAACGGTTTCGGGTTAAGAATGGACCTCCGGAACGAATTACCGTATTTTTCGCTCTATAGGATGCACTTTCCCCCCTCCAAAAGTTAAGGGGAAATATGTGTATGTCCTATGGAGCGAATGCAGGCTCCTTGGCTTCAGCAATAGCAAGGCGAAGCCTCCGAAGCACAGAGGGAGCGCTCCCTCCGCACTCCAGAGGCTTCGCGTTGCTTTCGCTGAAGCTTGGAGAGTGCACCGACCCCTCTTGCTCTCCAGGTTTCAGGGATAGCTGCCTGAAGACTTCGGAGCGCAGCACGAGTTCCCGCTGCGCTCTGCAGGCTTCAGGTTCCTTTTGCTGAAGCCGGGAGAGCAAGACTCTCCTGGCTTCAGCAGAGAGGGAGAGCTGCGCAGCGCCCCTTCAGCCAAGCGGGAGGAGAAATGGAAGGGGCTCCGCTTCTCCTGCCGCTTCGCTGAAGGGGCACTGAGCAGAGAGGGGGAGATTTTTTCCCCCTTGTTCTCCCCCTCTAAAACAAGGTGCGTCCTATGGTCCGGTGCGTCCTATAGAGCGAAAAATATGGTACGTTTGTAAGCTGAGGTACCACTGTATGTGTAAATAAGCCATATATCATAAAGACACCACAGTCTTTGCTGTCCCTTATTCAGAGGAAACTGAACCCCGAGTAAGCGCCTGGAACCCTTAGAATCTTGCATTTCTCAGAGATTGGGGTGGCCAGCAACAATATGTTTGTGAAAATGACATATGAAAATGCATTGGTCCAGATTCAGCTAGGTTCTTGCGCTAGCAGAAGGCAATGCTGCTAGTGCAGCTGGAACATTCCTCCCCTGTCCTGTCCTGCCAACCCTGGTTTTATATGAACGGCATATGAAGAGAAGCCGAGGCTTTGCTCTTTACCCCCACAATCCAACCTGGACAGGCCCATGTACTTGCTGACCACTTTCCATAGGCGCCCTCTCCCCAGGGCCCTGGGTGCCCGAGCCCCCACCAAATTTCCCACAAAGGCCCTGGGCACCACAAACCATAGTTGTCAACCTTCCCTTTTTTTTGCAGGAAATTCCCTTATTCCAGTGCTGCTTCCCACTGCTTCCCGCAGCTATCCCAGATTGTTAGATATCCCATAGACTGTCCCCAGGACAGGTGAGGCTGCTGGTCCCTTATTTTCGAGGCTGCTGATCCCTTATTTTCAAATCCGAAAGTTGACAGCTATGTCACAAACTGTGGCAGAGGGTGTGCGGGTGCAGTGCATGTGTGAGTGATGTCAGCATGCCACAAGGGGTGTGCTGACATCACTAGTGCCGTCGTGCGCATAGGCCCCTGTGGCATGCGCAGCCCAGGCATCCATGGTCGCAGGGCCAAACCAGCATGCCTGCCACTTTCCTAATAGTTACCAAATAGTGAATTGTTGGGGGTAAAGCAACAACACTTGCCTGACCCAGTTTCGGTTTTTTGGGGGGTGAGGGGCATAGACAGAAAGGTGTCCTATTATTCCCTATGGCGGATTCCTCCTTAGGGAACTGCTTGTTCATAGGTAGGTTGTTTTCTTAGGCTTTACTCCCTTCCTGCTTCTTCTTCAAGTTTAGTCACTGTGGGTTAATATTCACTCGTGTTAACTTATTATCTTCATTTTGGCCACATGTAAAAGAGTCTTTTCTGTTAGGGATAATTCAGACTGAAATTCCCAGGTGTCAAAAAAGGCTATTTATCTATGCCACTACTGCGGCCCGTGTTTTGTTAGCCCCAAAATGGAAAACGAGTGAGGTACCAACGAAAGAAGAATGGCAACTTAGGTTGACAGAATATGCACAGCTTGCAGACTTAACATATAGGACAAGAGAACAAGAAGAACACATGTTTAGAGAGGATTGGAAAACATTTATTGAACACAGTACATGGGAAATAACTGTGCACAGCTGAAAACGCTGGCAGCGTTAAGATAAATTCAACAGTGTAAATAAGTTTTGATGGATGTAATAATGGAATACTGAATGGTATATTTGTGTAAAATATGCAGGGATTTATGATATGCAAAATGAACCATGGAAAGAGAATGTCAGGGAACTGACATCGGAGCTAGAGGTGGAGGCAAGGCTCCCAAGCGATGCTGGAGAAGGGCCCAGCAGGGAGAGAGGCAGCTCATCAGCTGGGGAAGGAAATCAGCGTAACACCAGGGAGATGGGGGAATCGGCGAGGGGGCTCCAGGACTCCTCGCCGGAGACCAGCGGGGAGAGTACAGGTCCTCCGCTAACCACACCCTCCCTGCGCAGAAGACTTCCGCGCAGGGAGAGTAGGAGGAGACTTGGCGTCAAACAGCTTTTATGCTGGAAAAGGTTTAAGAAACGCCCACTGACGGATTCTGCTAGCGACTGAAACAGCCACGAAGTGAAGGGCTGTCCAGACAGAAAAGGTTTAACAAGGCAACCTAGCCAGGAGTGGCGGCAACTTACGCACGAGCAACCCCTATATTTATGACAGAGAAGAAGGGAAGTCACTGATAAATCTTAAGGATGTAAAAATGAGTACTTAAAATTGTGAAACAGAAAATTTTATACACACACACACACACACGAGAGAGAATCACTTTGTTTGTCATGAGTAAGAAACCTTACCCTTTCTTTATTCTTTCAACCTTATCAGATTATTTTTGTGCTCCCCTGAAATATATACACACACTCTCTCTCTCCCTCTCTCTTTCTCTCTCTCTCTCTCTCTCTCTCTCTCTCTGTGTGTGTGTGTGTGTGTGTGTGTGTGAGAGAGAGAGAGAGAGAGAGAGAGAGAGAGACTCTAACAGGGATGGCCTATATTTTGAAAGTGGGGTTCTGATTTTCTCCAAAAACATCACCATGAGCCACAGCTTATCCTGAGCATGCCTCTCCCCGCCCTGCCCTCACTGCTGATGTTGCAATATGCCAGCTCCTCCTCCTCTGCTGCTGCCGCCAGATGTGAGCACCCCTGCATTCCACACACATCAGAGCGGCATGCTTTTATTTATGCCTCTTTCATAAGGCAGCACACCACAAGTCACTTGCAAATATATGTATATTAAAATCAAACAAAGCATATGACCCGGATACATATTAATAAGACTCCAGAGTTATTTATTACCAGATAACTTTTATTTTGTTTCTTAGTTTTTAATTTTTGGGTATGCAAAAAAAATATTAAAGGGCAATCACACTAAATCTGGAAAGGAGGTCTTTGGAAACAGACTGTCCTGACTGTTTGCAGCCCTTAATATTTATGAAATAACCATCCTGTTGGTGGAATAAAAATTGAGCTACTGCAGGCAGCCTAATCCTATGGGTGTTTATTTGGAATGAACCACACAACCCTTCCTAAAATTACTCAGAAGTACTTTCAAAGTCTGCTTCAGTTTTAAATAGCACCTCTCTCTCTCTCTCTCTCTCTCTCTCTCTCTCTCTCTCTCTCTCTCTTTCTCTGGATCCTGTTGTGCAGGGAAGTAGAGATTAATTCTTTCTTCCCCGTGTCACTGTTTTGAGGAAGATTCCTCTGGCACCTTCCCTCCTGCAGCAAACAGCAGGGCCGGCCTGAGACATTTTTGCCACTGGAGGTAAAGGTGAAGATAGCACCTCCTCCCATTCATATACAACAACATTCGCCAACCTGGTGCTCTCCAGATGTTTCAGACTCCAACTCAGCCCCAGACAGTGTCAATTCCATTTGCATCTAAAGGCGAACCCACCTAAACCACACTTTTTGAAACAATAGGTAAAATAAAACACAGCCGTCCTTTGAAAGTCACAATTCCCCAAAGTTTGCAGTGCACTTCTCTGGCCAAGCAATGTGCCCCAAAACACATGAATAAGCAGTGTATACACCTGTCAGGAGTAAGCATGGACCAATGATATCAAATAGTACGGAAAACTGCCTTACTAGGAAAACTAACCAATAAACTGAAACTGACACGGGGACAATAGAAGAAGACGCCCTCACCCCGGTATGGCTCCCTTTTATCATATCACAGCCCAACAAGACAACGACAAGAATCCACCAACAGCATACGAATCAGTATGGCTAACCTGATACAAAAACACCCACCCACCCCACTCACACATGAAAACAAAGTTCACCACAGCCAATCACAAACAAAAAACCACACCCTAGGCCAGGGGTCTGCAACCTTTAAGACAAAAAGAGCCACTTGGACCCAGTTCCGAAGAAAAAAAAACTGGGAGCCGCAAAACTCGTCGTCATAAAAATAACTTTTTTGTCACTTTTTTATTATTTCTTTGTTTGACCCCTCAGAATTACTCCTCCTCATAGAAATAAATGTTAAATTAACAAGTTACCTTTTTGTGTGTGTGTGTTCTTCACTCCCCTTCAAAACAGTGACCAGCGTACATGCCTCCTTTCAATGCAGTGACCAGCGTACATGCCCCTTACAATGTAGCGGGCGGGCGGGAAGGTGACGTCGGGACGGTGCGTGACTAATGCACGCACTGCCCCATGCGACGTCACAGCCAGTACAGCGCCCGCCACAGTGGGGAGTGTCGGGGCGCACAATGCGCCTCCTCCCCTCGCTAGTATTCGCCCCGGAGCCGCGGCAAAGGTGTAAAAGAGCCACATGCGGCTCCGGAGCCGCGGGTTGCAAACCCCTGCCCTAGGCCAACCCCCAACCCCTCTCACCACCAAAGGAACACAAGCAAATAGTAAAGAACCCGCACACGCGACACTGACACAAAATCTCACACATACATTAAGTAAAATAGAAACATCGCCACCTGACTCCACCCTCACTCACCACGGCCCCCTCCACATCATTCCCCCTTTTCTTCCTAATGTAACATTAATGTCTCAACAAATGAAACTGATTGGTAGAAAATGTAACTTGAAAAAAAAGACACTGCACATACTTTTGTAAACCAAGAAATCTTTAATAAAAATATGTTTTTAAAAAAGCAGTGTATGAATTGTTCAAATACAGTCATACCTTGGCTTACAGCCGCTTCAGGTTGCGTTTTTTTGGGTTACGCACCCGCCGAAACCCGGAAGTACCGGAACGGGTTACTTCCAGGTTCCGGCGGTCGCACATGCGCAGAAGCGCTAAATTGCAACCCACATGTGCGCAGACGCGGGTTGCGAACGCTGCAGGTTGCGAACGTGCATTGCGCACGGATCACATTCGCAACCCAAGCGACCACTGTAAATAAATGAAGCATGTTTTCAAAGGCAGATGCAGTGGTACCTCATGTTACATACGCTTCAGGTTACATACGTTTCAGGTTACAGACTCCGCTAACCCAGAAATAGTGCTTCAGGTTAAGAACTTTGCTTCAGGATGAGAATAGAAATCGTCCTCCGGCGGTGCAGCAGTGGTGCTTCAGGTTAAGAACAGTTTCAGGTTAAGTACGGACCTCCAGAACGAATTAAATACTTAACCCGAGGTACCACTGTACTGTATTAAATGAAATTAACATGCTACTGGCACCTACATGGAGGCTTAGCTCATTATCCTCAGAACAAACCTGCAAAGTTGGCCAGTCCGAGAGATACTGAGCAGCCCAATGCCACCCAGTGATCTTCACCCTTGTTTGCTCTCCACCCTCAAGCACACTGCCCCATTCCTGGGTGCGTCTCTGGGAACAAACCGGTGGAAATGGACCCTCAAGCGAAGCAACGTCTTCCGAGCTGAGTGCCATCCACTTAGCTCACACAGCCCAGCTGCTGTTTCTTGCTCCCTGTTTATGTGGCAGCCGAGAAAGAGAGAAAGAAAGAAAGAAAAATTGCTTATGGGAGGCGAGGGCTTGTTGAAAGGGAGATGCACTCCCTCTCGCCCAGATGGGACAGTCGCAAAGGCTTTCTGCTGGTTCGCCGGAGGGCATGGCAACCCATGTGGACTGGGAGAAAAGGAAAGCTTATTTTGAATGGGCCATGTGACTGTCCGCTAAAGAGTGGGAAGCCTTGTGGGTTAGTGCCTCCTTCCAACAACTTGTAATGACGTAGCTGGGCATCTGCCAGGGCCTAGACACCAGCAAAGGGGCCCACCGCTGACCTTGAAATTGACCACTGTCACAGGGACATCATCACCATCATCATGATTATTAATATTATTATTATGGATTGCTTCCCATGAGACATCCGGAAGCGATTTACAATATGATAGCGTACATAAAACAGTCACCTATATAAAAACAGCTTAAACAGTTGCCTATATCAGTTGCATCTGCACATATATCTCTTTGTAAACCACTGTGAGGTTTTGTTTCTTTTACAATCAGTGTATACATTTTAAGAAACACACACACACACACTCAGAGAGAGAGAGAGTTTTTAAAAAATCTTATAAGTATAAAAAAGTTTAAACAACAGTACATAAATAAAAACAATTTGATTCCAACTGGGATAAAGATTTCTGAAGGCCTGTTGAAAGGGGAACACCTTTTGTTGTTGTTTAGTCGTTTAGTCGTGTCCGACTCTTCGTGACCCCATGGACCAGAGCATGCCAGGCACTCCTGTCTTCCACTGCCTCCCGCAGTTTGGTCAGACTCATGTTTGTAGCTTCGAGAACACTGTCCAAAGGGAACACCTTTAGCAGGTGTCAAAAAGACAACAGAGGAGACGTCTGCCTGATATGCAGTGGGAGGGAGTTCCAAAGGGTCGGGTCATTCTTACATCATGTGGAATGGGCCTCCTGATTGGATGGTATCTGCAGGGTGCCCTCTGCTGCAGAATGCAGGGATCCAGTTAGGTATGCAGAGGATAGAGGGATATTTTTGGTATTCTGGTCTGAAGTTGTATAGGGCTTTATACACCAAAGCCAGCTCCTTGAACTAGCCTGGTAGCTAACTGGCAACCAGTGTGATTCTTTCAGCATTGTGGGGGGAATGAGAAATGTCCCCATTTTCATCTGGGGAATGTTGGAGGGTAAGGGCTCCATCATCTCTTGGCTTCCAGTGTCTCTCAAGATGGTGGGGGCCAGTTCAATTCCATTCCTTTGCAGTAAAGCTTGAACTCTAATTCCACCCGCCCCCATTGGACCTTTTGCGTTAAGGAAAGTGACGGGGAAATGCCCTGGGGAAGTGCGGGGTAACAAATGCTTGACAGGCATCATATAACTTCCATGTAAACAAACCAGGATGGATGCTCAATAAACTGTCAATGTCATCTAACCTCCTTGCAATTGTTTTGGAAACAAATCAGGGTGATTGCTCATTAAACAGGCTGCCCAGAAGCGAGCTAAGCTCTGTTTGCATCCACAGCCACAACTCACCAGGACTCTGCACCTGTTTCAGCTGTGGTGTAAACCCACAACCTCTTTGCGTCTTTGCAAGAAGGCACCGAATCTCCCAGCATCTGAGTAGATGCAGCTTGCTGATTAAAAAGGAGCTAATTGATGGCACTGAAATGCCATCACAAGGTGATTTCTTTCACACCTTTGAATTCTGTTTTAATTAAACAGGTGATCGCTGGCAGAGCAGAGAATCCCCACTTCCCCCATAAGGTGTGAAATGAAAATATAGGGCAAGGGGGCAGGGAAAACAGTGTTACTCTTTCCCTTTTCTTATCTGTGCATGCAACCATGCAGCTGAAGTAACAACAACAACAACAACAACAACAGACCACCCTCAAAGTAACTTGCATGGTAAAAATAAAATAATAAAGACATTAAAAACAGGTTTAAAAACACAGCAATAAAAAACTAAAATGCAGACCAGACAATGTATCTCAAGATACATTAGAGAAGATAGATCAAAGGAACAATATGTTTACAAGGAGGAAAATGAAAGGTGTATGGGACTCCTCAGCCCGGGAAGGGAGCCC